GAGAAGAGCCAACCAATCAAAACAGACTCACAGACGACCGCTTGAGTATGGGGTGACCAATCTTGCAGATTATGACCAGCATAGAAGCAACTGGCTTAGGGTCATTACACTGAATGTTTGGAGAGGGAGGCTGTGAACACAAAAGAAGATACCCTTTTTAAAGTGTGATAAAAAAAAGGAGCAGTTTCTTCACACCAATTCAGCAAACATTCACTGATTTTCCTACATGCCAGACACCCTGCCAGAAGCTGCGAACACAAGTAAGTCAGAGTTGGTCCCTCTCTTCCTCACCAACTGGGCAGGAGGGCTCGGTAGTAGATCCTTGAGGGAGTTAAACACAAGGCCTAAGGGGTGCTTCTGCAAGACAGGTGCAAGAGTAGAAGTGGGAAAAGAAACAAATGCCAACTAGGAGAATCTGTAAAGTCTTCCGAGGGAAGGAGACATCTGAACTGGGCCTTGGACCTAGGCAAACTTAACACACTGAGACGGGCTGGAGGGGCGGATGTGCCAAGCACTGCCACGCAGTCTTTCTCCACCAGGGCTCCTCATCTGGACCACTGGGTACAGACAACGATTGGAGTGGCTATTAATTCTACCAAGGATGGTATATCACTAGTTCCCTTCTAGCTGCATAGAATTTCATTCGTGTAAGGGATGCTGTCCTAGCCCAAATAGCCTAAGACAGCCAGGGACAAACCTATAGTTTGACAAAGTCGGGTTTATTGACTCACTGCAATGAGGAAAATTGTGCTGTGTTGTGTCTCACCAAACAGAGAAAAACAGTTATTAAAGGATTCTGGGGAAGGGTGGAGTTCGAATGAATGTAAATCAGTGTGTTGATGGCCTGAAAGCAAAGCAGGACTATGTGTAAAGGGCTCAGTCAACATCAGGGCTGGACTGCAAAGTGGACCCAGGCCCCACTTCCTTAGAAACTATTAATCTAGGGTGGAGAGCTGTGTCCAGAAACACGACCGGATGCTTTGTACCTCAGAAGAAATGGAGACTGCTTCTTTTTGTTAAAGTGACCTAGATTCTCTAGTCGAGAGTGAGATGGGTTCATAATTACTGACATAATTCCAAGCAGCAAAGTTTCTGATCATCTATGATTTTAGAGAACAAAATTTCTCAGTGTTGTGATGCTCTACAGATGCAGGGTGTCGGTGGGAGGAAGACTGTCCCCCTAGCATCTTTGCAGCTGGCTTTGTGGCTGTCATTCCAGCCTGTGGGGAGGCAGGGAAGATTTTTTATTATCCCTGTCCAAGCTAACTTTTGCTTTCTTTTTTGTTTGTTTGTTTTTGTTTTGAGGCAGAGTCTCGCTTTGTTGCCCAGGCTAGAGTGAGTGCCGTGGCATCAGCCTAGCTCACAGCAACAAACTCCTGGACTCAAGCGATCCTCCTGCCTCAGCCTCCCGAGTAGCTGGGACTATAGGCATGTGCCACAATGCCTGGTTAATTTTTTCATATATATATTAGTTGGCCAATTAATTTCTTTCTATTTATAGTAGAGACGGGGTCTCGCTCTTGCTCAGGCTGGTTTCGAACTCCTGACCTCGAGGAATCTGCCCGCCTCGGCCTCCCAGAGTGCTAGGATTACAGGCATGAGCCACTGCGCCTGGCCTAATTTTTGCTTTCTCAATGCCTTAATGCCTTAAGGCACTGAAAGCTTATTTACCTCTCAGAACCCTGGTTAAGAAAGGTTGCATGTAAGGATGGGTGATCATGCAGCAAAATGGTGCCACTGAAGGTTTTTAGAGCAGAGAATGGATCCACAGCATATAGCCGGACTGCAGGCGGTTCATCTAGCTACTCAACTCTTACAGGATGGACCAGGAGGAGGCTGGAAGCAGGGACGCCAGTTAGGAGGTTGCCGCAGAAAAGCAAGCATGCAGGGAGAGATGGGTATGAGAATCCTGTTTGCAAAGCTGCCATCATAGTTACCTTTTGCATCCTCTTAAACTGTAAGTTTCTGGGGTAATTCAAAGTCATTGTTGTCATGTAGGAATCTTCCCCAGAGTTAGTTAGGTTAATGTTCATGGTCAGCTCCTTTGTGAGACCCACCACCAATTCCTGCCTGCACAGTGTACAGATAAAAGTGTTACCAGTTTATTTACTCCATAAAAACTTCAATGCAATAGAATAGCACACTCTTAACTAACTTCTTAGATAAGTTGCCTAAGGCAGTGTTCCCCAACCTTTTTGGCACCAAGGACCGGTTTCATGGAAGACAATTCTTCCACGGACTGGCGGGCAGAGGGGAGAAAATGGTTTCGGGATGATTCAAGTGCATTACATTTATTGTGCAGTCAAACCTCTCTGCCAATGATAATCTGCATTTGCAGCCACTTCCCAGCGCTAGCATCACCGCCTCAGCTCCACCTCAGATCATCAGTCATCAGATTCTCATAAGGAGCACACAACCCAGATCCCTCGCATGTGCAGTTTACAGTAGTTTGTGCTCCTTTGAGAATCTAATGCTGCTGCTGATCTGATAGGAGGGAGAGCTTATGCAGTGATGCAAGCAATGAGGAATGGCTGTAAATACAGATGAAGCTTCCCTTGCTCACCTGCCACAGCGTCCACCACTCACCTGCTGTGCAGCCCAGTTCCTAACAGGCCACAGACCAGTACCAGTCCGTAGCCTGTGCGTTGGGGACCTCAGGCCTAAGGGATACATCTAGCCTAGACTTTTTTTCCCCTTGACATAAGCAACTACCTGGACTGCCACCCCCATCTCAGTTGTTGCATGAGATGATGATAATGGCTGCCACTGTGCTTCACATTCTCAATTAATCCTCATAGTCACCCTATGAAATAGTCCAGCCACTCTCTGTTTTATAGACGAGGAAACAGAAGCCAAGAGAGGCTAATTAAATTGCTTGGGGTCTAGCAGCCTCCAAAGAGTTGGAAGCATTGGATCCAAATCCTCTTTCTACCACCATCGCTGTGACCCTAGGCAAGGTACACCATGACACAAATCCATCCTTTCACAAATATTTATGGGGCGCTTTCTATTGGCTGGCATACTGTTCAGCACTGCAGACCAGGGTGCACGACACACACTGTTCTGCCTTTGCAAAGGGAACCTCTTTCTTGGCCTCAGCTTTCCCGCCCACAAAATCATTCAGATCCTTCCCATTTAAAGGCTATCATTTAAGACATGGGTCCACTCAGCATGGAGAAGAGAAGACTTGGGTTAGGTGAGAGCTTCTTTCATACTGCTGAGATATTTATGGGACCCAGAGTGCAAAACCACTATCCATAGTCCCTGTAGTTGAGATGTACAGGAAAACATATTAAAAATACAAAGAAAACTTTTTAACCATCTGAATCGTCCACAGATGGAATGTGCATATCTGGGAAGTAATGTGACATGTGTTTTGTTGTTATTGTTTTGTTGTGTCTTTGTTGTTTGCTATTTTTTTTTTTTTTTTTTTAGACAGATCGTTCGTTTGTGTTGCCACAGGCTAGAGTGACGTGCCGTGGATCTCAGCCTAGCTCACGCAACCTCAGAAACTCCTGGCTCAAGCAATCCTGCTGCCTCAGTCCTCCATAGCTGGAATACAGGCATGCGCCAGCACTGTCCGTATTTTTCATGCTATATCATATTGTTGGCAATTAATTTCATTCTGTTGCTAGTAGAGACGAGAGGTCCACTGTTGCCTCAGGCTGGTTTTGTGAACTCCTGGCCTCGAAGCATCCGCTCTGCCTCGAGGGTACTCCCAGGTGCTAGGATTATCAGGCGTTGAGCCCACCGCGCCGCGTGCGCTATTGTTGTTTATTGTTTTGTTGAGACGAAGGATGGACTAATTGGAGGCAGAGACAGAGCCTGTTGTGGCATCCATCTGAGAGATGACACATGCCTGAAATAAAAAAGAAAAAAAAAAAACACTAGCAGTGGAGGATGAAAGACTCAGAGGATGTCAGTGCGCAGAAGCGAGAGCACGAGAGCAAGAGACACGTGTCAAGGATGAGTTCTGAGCTTCCGGCGTGGGTGGCTGAGCGGAGCTGTCCACTGAGGGAGAGAACACAGGAGAGAGACCCAAGGGCGGGAGAAGACGAGTTCAGTCTGGGACATGAGATGCGCCCACAGGATAACGATGGTTGAGAGGTACTTGACGTATTCAGGTTAAAATTACTGTTCTGAGCCCAGTGAGAGCAGATCTGAGTGTCATCCAGGGAGGTTCACGGGTGTTTTTTCTTAACCTGAGAGTGTAGAGGACAGTTTCGATGGATGATGCTGGAAGCAAGAACGCATTGGCTATGTATGTACATGTGACTCCTAGGGAGAGGAGTCTGTAGTATTTATTCGAGTCTTTAGGGGATCCACATCCACAGAAAGGTCAAAAACCACTGAGACAGTTGGATGCCAACAATTGAGCTCAGTAATAAATAGAAGAGATTGCTTGTAGTGTACACCAGGAGGCGATGTTGGGCAAGCTGTGTGTGCTGTGTCTGTGTTTTGCAAGTAGTTGGCAGGGAGGGCGGTTCTTGGCTACGGTTCCCAGTTGAAAACAGCTGCACTTTGCTGGTTAAACTGGATTCCAACGCACTTGGAAGTCTTGACTTGGTCCTGCCAGTGTCTACGAGAGGGCTCACCAGGACCTGTGTTCTCCCCCATAGATGCCAACTCTGGCCAGCTGGCCATCGGTGTCGTGATACACACACAGCACTAGTAGCCATGGGGGGCATTTTAAGACCATCACATCCAAAACCAAAAACTCATTGTTGGCAACCGCACCATTCTAGAATTCAGTGTGGCCCAACAGAACTTGTGCAGTGAGGGAAATAGTTTATCATATCTGTGCTGCCCAATACCACCAGCCATATGTGGGTACTGAGCCTTTAAAATGTGACGAGAGTGACTGAGGAACTAAATTTTTCATTGTGTTTAATTTTAATTCATTTAAATTTCAATAGCCAAACGTGACTAGTGGCTAGCGTGTTGGACAGTGCAGTTCTAGATGCTCGGGCTGTGACCCCTCGCTTTCTCTCACTCCCCAGATTCACTGTCAGCAAATCCTATGGGCTCTAACTTCAAAATAGTGACCACCTTCATTGCTATGACCTGGGTCCAAGCCACCATCGCCTCTCACTTGAGTCACTGCAGCAGGAGTCATCGTTACCTCCCCGCCCCCACCTCTGCTCCCATGGTCTGTTCTCAACACAGCAGCAAGAAGGATCCTGCTCAACTGCAAGCTTACATCACTCCTCTGGCCTCCCAGCTCATAGTAAAAGCCCTTATGAGGGCCCGAGAAGCCCTTTTGGATCTTCCCCTCCTCCTGCTCCCACGTCACCCCACCCCCCTCACTCCACTGCAGCCACACTGGGTCCTTGCCCGCCTCCCACCTGCCAGCCCGGCTCCCATCCCAGGGCATATGCGACTGCTCTTCCTTCTGACACCTAGGAAGCTCATCCCACTACCTCCTCCTGTAGGTGCCAAAGCGTCACCCTCCCTGACCACCGCCCCCACTCAGCACTCCCTCCCACTTTCCCTGTCTTATTTTTCTTCACAGTGCACCTCAGCAGCATAGAATTTACCTATGTGTTATCTTCTCACCCTAAATGCACCAGGAGGGCAGGGATTTTTGTCTGTGTTGTTCGCTGCGATATCCCCAGCACCTACCACGCTTGGCACAGAGTGGATGCTTCAGAAATATTTGGTGAGTTAATTAACTCATTTTACCAAGAGGTGAGCCAGGAAAGAGGCTACCTCTAGCTGAGGTTGTCCTAGAAGCGAAGACCACTAGGTCATGAACACAGCACTGTCCGGGACGTCAAGAGACCTGGGCTCAAGTCCACCAAATGGCCACTATGACCCTCTGCAGTGCCCTAAGCTCCTGAGCCAGTTTCCCAATCTATAAAATGGGAGTGCACATCTCTGTCTTGCCTCCCCCATGGGGTGGCTGAGGACATAACGAGACAGTAAGTGCAAAGGCCCTTCTCCAGCCATCAGGGGACAGGGAAGGGCGTGTGCCTGGGTGCTGAGGAGGGACTGCCCAGGCGAGCCTTCAGGAGGACGTTCACGGCAGGAAGCAATGATGACTGGACCCAACTCACTGAGAGATGGTAGTGGCCAGCTGCAACTCAGCGACACAAAACAGCTTATTCTTGCAGGCCTTCTCGTAGGGCAGCTGTAAGCAGACAAAGAGGAGCAGGGTCAGCCCAGGGACCCTCCTCCCCCAGCACCCCTGCCCCGACCTTCCTCGTAGCACACCGAGGCCTGTCCTTCCTGCTCGCTCTGGGAAGAGCAGTTACAGGGAGGTGAAGGTGGACGGGCTGGGATCGTGCCACACAGCCAAGAGGGCCGTGACTGGGCCGCTCCTGGATCCCTACCACAAGGGCACACTGTGAAGCAGGCCTCTGGTCAAGGCCAAAAACAGGCGACCTCAGTGGAATGGTAGGCGACCTCAGTGGAATGGTGGGTGTGCCCGCCACATTCACATCATTTGAATTAAAAAGCAACTATTTTGAGCGTTTGAGGAGGAAAACCTATGAGAAGACAAGCTTCCTGAGTCTTTTCAAGCCTAGGCAGCAACCGCAGTGGCAGGATGGGGGCTACCTGACCAAATGCCATCCGAGTCCCGCTGTGGAGGTCCTCTTCCCCATGGCAATCTTCTCTGCAAGTTAACTGTCTCCCTCACAATCTTGCCTGCACATAACAAACTAATTCAGAAGGCTATATTTGGTTCAAAAGGCCCCATCAAGTTTAAAAAGCCCCAGTTTGAGTTGAAAAATTAAATTTTCTAAAGTAGCTGAGTCTATTTTTTATTATGAAGGCAACACAGCCAACTCCCTGACTGGGGAATGTCTGCATTGATCTCCCCAGCAGCCAGTGATCACCCCCGCGGCCCCCTGCAGGTCTGTAATCACAGCCAGGGGTGGGAGGGCAGCCCAGAGCTTGAAAGGAGACTTTCTGCTTCCTGGAGAAAGGACATGCCATTTGCAGAAGTCAGAGTGTGGGGCTCTGTCTAACTGGGTCAGCAGTTTTGTGCAGGGTTTTTTGTTCTGTTTTTAATATAGCCACGTAGCCAACCCCAGTGAAAGGGAATGGGGTTAGACCATCTAAGCTACCAGCTAGAACTCCTTCTCTGGTAACATCTATGTGCCTACACCAGATAATTTTTTCTCACCCATATTGTAGATGGAATACTTTTTTAAAAATCTCTTTGCCAAATCATCACAGTAATAATGGATTAAGGGAAGACTCATTAATAGATGTTAAGCAGGATATAATATCGAAGTATCTCACCACAAAATACTTACTGATTACAAAGGGAAATAGCACTAGTAATGGCACAAAAATGTATGGATATACTGAGAAGGCCACAACTTTCCTTCGTGATGTTCCTTACAAAAATGCATAATGTGAATCAAATCATGAGGAAATATCAAATAAATTCAAATTGAGGAACATTCTACAAAATGACCAGCCTGTACCCATTCAAAGATGTTAAGGTCATTAAAGATAAGGAAAGACTGAGAAATTGTTCTAAGTTAAAGGAGACTAAAGATAAATAACAATAAAAATGTAATGAATGGACTAGGCACAGTAGTTCACTATTCTAACCCCAGCACTTTGGGAGGCTAAGGTGGGAGGATCACTTGAGGCCAGGAGTTCGAGACCACCCTGGGCAATGTAGCAAGACCCTGTCTCTACAAAAAAAATAAGAAAAATTAGCCAGGTGTGGTGGTACATGCCTGGAGTCCCAGCTACTCGAGAGGCAGAGGAGAGAGGATTGCCTGAGCCCAGGGGTTTGAGGCTACAGTGAGCTATGATAATGCCACTGCACTGTAACCTGGGCAACACAGAACTTATTTCAAAAATAACTAAGAAACTAACTAAATAAATGCAATGAATGTTCCTGGACCACAACATTTTTTTCTTTTGTTATAAAAGACATTAATAAGAAACTGGTAAAACTTGAATAAAGCTGGAAGATCAGATAATAGTATTTTATCAATGTTAATTCCCTGATTTTGATTTTTTTTTTTTTTGAAACAGAGTCTCGCCTCGTTGCCCAGGCTAGAGTGAGTGCCATGGTGTCAGCCTAGCTCACAGCAACCTCAAACTCCTGGGCTCAAGCGATCCTACTGCCTCAGCCTCCTGAGTAGCTGAGACTACAGGCATGTGCCACCATACCCGGCTAATTTTTTTGTATATATTGTTAGTTGGCCAATTAATTTATTTCTATTTATAGTAGAGATGGCGTCCCACTCTTGCTCAGGCTGGTCTGACCTCGAGCAATCCGCCCGTCTCGGCCTCCCAGAGTGCTAGGATTACAGGCGTAGGCCACCACGCCCGGCCTGTTTTGATTATTGTACTGTGTTTTTAGAGAATGCCTTTGTTTTTAGAAAATATATACTGAAGTATTGAGGGTAAGGAGGCAGCATATCTGTAACTTACTCTCAAATGAGAATTCTTTGGACTATTCTTATAAACTTTTTGGTAAGTTAAATAGTTCAAAATAAAAAGTTTTTTAAAAACAGAATATATGTAATTAATGATAATCTGCTTATCACCAAAACTTTATTACATTAGTTCTCCCACTCTTTTCTGTATCATCTAACTTTCTGTCAATACCAAATTTTTTAATTTTTGAAAAAATAAATACAATATTATACATTTAAAATAAAGTCTCTCTGCCTAAAAAATGAAGATGACAATCTTTGCTCATAGGGAGGCTGAGTCATCTGATGATGTTACTGTGATTATTTTAAATGAAGCACTTGAATACATTGCATACTGGGGCCCTCACTTGGCAAGAGTCTCTGATGACCGTGTTGGGGGGGGGCCTCATGGGGGCTGGAGTAGAGCCATCCTGCCCTGCACTGCAGGGAAGATGCCCAGGGCCTTCAGGCTGAATGTCTGGTCCCACCAAACCTGCACCTTAACCTCTCCCCCAGGTCCCCAGCGGTGCAGCTAGCAGGCGAGCAGTGTCACAAGAAACTCTTCTCATGACTAGGGGAAATCAGAGGGGCGGAAATAAAGGGTTAAGTTTCCTGATCCAAAGGCTGGGTGTGGTGGCTCACACCTGTAATCCTAGCACTCTGGGAGGCCAAGGTGGGAAGATGGCTTGAGGCCAGGAGTGTGAGACCAGCCTGAGCAAGAGTGAGACCCCATCTCTACAAAAAATAGAAAAATTAGCCCTGGTGGCGCATGCCTGTAGTCCCAACTACTGGGGAGGCTGAGGCAGAAGGATTGCTGGAGCCTAGGAGTTGGAGCTTCCAATGAGCTATGATGATGTCACTGCACTCTAGCCAGGGCAACAGAGGGAGATCCTGTCTCAAAAAAAAAAAAGTCCTAATTCTATAATATTTATAATATTTTCCCCCACCCACCCAAACCCTGGCCCCCAGGATATTTTGTTAATCTCCACTTAGAGAGTATAGAAAAAAATCAGCAGGAAGAAAGAAGTGACATCATTAACATTAAAAAGTAATAATTACAGGCCTAGCAGGTGGCTCAAGCCTGTAATCCTAGCACTCTGGGAGGCCATGTTGGGTGGATTGCTCAAGGTCAGGAGTTCGAAACCAGCCTTAGCAAGAGCGAGACCCTGTCTCTACTATAAAAGAAAGAAATTAATTGCCAACTAATATATAAAGAAAAAATTAGCCGGGCATGGTGGCACATGCCTGTAGTCCCAGCTACTCGGAAGGCTGAGGCAGAAGGATTGCTTGAGCCCAGGTGATTGAGGTTGCTGTGAGCTAGGCTGACGCCATGGCACTCACTCTAGCCTGGGCAACAAAGTGAGACTCTGTCTCAAAAAAAAAAAAAAAAAGTAATAATTACAGTCAGCTGTGATGAATTGAGTATCAGAAAATAAATAAATAAGTAAAAAGCCCATGGCTGGGTGTGGTGGCTCACGCCTGTAATCCTAGCACTCTGGGAGGCCGAGGCGGTGGATTGCTCAAGGTCAGGAGTTCAAAACCAGCCTGAGCAAGAGTGAGACCTGTCTCTACTATAAATAGAAAGAAATTAATTGGCCAACTAATATATATAGAAAAAAACTAGCCAGGCATGGTGGCACATGCCTATAGTCCCAGCTACTCAGGAGGCTGAGGCAGGAGGATTGCTTGAGTCCAGGAGTTTGAGGTTGCTGTGAGCTAGGTTGACACACCACGGCACTCACTCTAGCCTGGGCAACAAAGCGAGACTGTTGTCTCAAAAAAACAAAAAACAAACAAAAAAAAAAACAAGCTCAAAGTAGCTCATGAAGGCTTCAGAAGACAAAGTATGTTTCCAGGTAGTCATAAGACACTAATGGCTGTCCAGCATTTTTGCAAAATATGCTCTTTATTGATTAAATTATATAAACCTTTAGCTGCAGTTTTGATCAATACCCGGTGTACCAGTTCCAAACAGTGAACAGAAATAGGACAGTAACATCATCAGATGACTCAGCCTCCCTATGAGCAAAGATTGTCATCTTCATTTTTTAGGCAGAGAGACTTTATTTTAAATGTATAATATTGTATTTATTTTTTCAAAAATTAAAAATTTGGTATTGACAGAAAGTTAGATGATACAGAAAAGATGTGGAGAACTAATGTAATAAAGTTTGGTGATAAGCAGATTATCATTAATTACATATATTCTGTTTTTAAAAAACTTTTTATTTTGAACTATTTAACTTACCAAAAAGTTTATAAGAATAGTCCAAAGAATTCTCATTTGAGAGTAAGTTACAGATATGCTGCCTCCTTACCCTCAATACTTCAGTATATATTTTCTAAAAACAAAGGCATTCTCTAAAAACACAGTACAATAATCAAAACAGGCCGGGCGTGGTGGCCTACGCCTGTAATCCTAGCACTCTGGGAGGCCGAGACGGGCGGATTGCTCGAGGTCAGACCAGCCTGAGCAAGAGCGAGACCCGTCTCTACTATAAATAGAAAGAAATTAATTGGCCAACTAATATATATAGAAAAAAATAGCTGGACATGGTGGTGCATGCCTGTAGTCCCAGCTACTCGGGAGGCTGAGGCAGGAGGATCGCTTGAGTCCAGGAGTTTGAGGTTGCTGTGAGCTAGGCTGACACCATGGCACTCACTCTAGCCTGGGCAACGAGGCGAGACTCTGTTTCAAAAAAAAAAAAAATCAAAATCAGGAATTAACATTGATAAAATACTATTATCTGATCTTCCAGCTTTATTCAAGTTTACCAGTTTCTTATTAATGTCTTTTATAACAAAAGAAAAAATGTTGTGGTCCAGGAACATTCATTGCATTTATTTAGTTAGTTTCTTAGTTATTTTTGAAATAAGTTCTGTGTTGCCCAGGTTACAGTGCAGTGGCATTATCATAGCTCACTGTAGCCTCAAACCCTGGGCTCAGGCAATCCTCTCTCCTCTGCCTCTCGAGTAGCTGGGACTCCAGGCATGTCTACCACCACCTGGCTAATTTTCTTATTTTTTTTGTAGAGACAGGGTCTTGCTACATTGCCCAGGGTGGTCTCGAACTCCTGGCCTCAAGTGATCCTCCCACCTTAGCCTCCCAAAGTGCTGGGGTTAGAATAGTGAACTACTGTGCCTAGTCCATTCATTACATT